CCCTGCCTGGAGACTGATGACGCGCGGGCAGCTCCACACGGCGATTGGCCGCTCGCGGCAGAGGCTATAAAAGGCGGCGGGCGAGCGGGGCGAGTTACTCAGTGAAGACAGAGGAGCCGTAAGAGGCCATGGAGCTCACGGCGAAGGTGGCGGTTCTGATGCTATTGGTGGCCCTGGTCGGCCTTGGGGAGGCGGATGGTGAGTGCCCGGGGGGGCTGTGAGGGGCCCGGTACCGGTTACCGTGTCCGGATTGATGGGTGGGTGGTTGCTGACATCTCCGAGGCTTCTCACCATCTCCTTCCCCCCTCACCCCGTCTCCAGAGGCACCGAAAGTGGAGGTGTATTCCCGCAAACGTGCCGTGCAGGGGGAGGAGAACGTCCTCAACTGCTTCGTGAGTGGTTTCCACCCTCCCAAGATCGACATCTCTATCCTGAAGAACGGGGAGCCCATGAGTGACGTCAAGTATGCGGATATGTCCTTCAACGACAAGTGGTATTTCCAGCGTCTGGTGTATGTGCCGTTCACCCCCAGGAAGGGCGACGTCTACGCTTGCAAGGTGGCCCATTCCACCTTCCGGGAGCCACAGGTGTTCCAATGGGGTATGATGTGCCTTCCTCATCAAGCTTTGTCCCCTGTTTGTGTGCAGAAGCCAGAGCTCGTTAATTTATATCTGTGTTGCCTCTGCTCCCCTTCTTAGGGTGCTATAATGGGGTGGATTTTGAAGGTTTTGTAGGTGTTTGGTTATGCTGTTATGACAGCACTGTCATAAACACTGTTAGGTTTGGTTATGACAACTCTTGGTGGACCACTGATCTCTTTCTAGGTGAACTTGCCTACAAAGAGGCGGGTCACGCAGTGTTTTTTTGGCTTTATATTTGGTGAATATAAAGAAGGATATAGTGGTGGGGATCGATTGTGGTGACCCAGCCTGCTGCAGCAAGCACACAGCCAAGCAAGGGCAGCTCCCTGGGACTCTTTCCAGCAGGGATGGGCTTGTGGTGAGGGAGGGCTCTTTGCTCCGAAACCTAACGTTTTACCCTTCTTTCTTGCAGAGGCAGACTTCTAAGCTGTGTCTGGGATAAGCACGGTGAGTTTCGCTGACGGTCCATGCTGTGCTGATAAGGGGAATGTGGACTGCTTTCTGTAGGGGGGCGGGAAATGTGCAACTTGTAGAGTTGAGGAACAAAAGCAACCACCCAAAATAAAAAAAAACATATACAGTGGTGTTGCTGATTGGGAGTGGGGCTGTTCCCCCACCCTTTCTACCCGCTATTTTGGCCAGTTCTCAGCCACACCTTGCCTTCAGGAGTCCCTTTTCCTCAAAAGAAAGGAGCACCTTGGAGTAAAAATTCCTTGCACGTTTGCCAGATATCACTCGAGTTGTCGCAGGTCCTCTAGTGCTTCTCCAGACTCTGGGGTGCTATCTTCTGCTTGGTGAGGAGGAAGTTGACAGATCCGGAAATCCCCACGATGTGGCGGGAGGCAGGCTGGTTAACCCTGCGTCAGGCAGCGTGTCAGCTCGGTAGTGTGGGATGTATGAGACACAAATCAGTGCCTTGCTGTCAGGCCAGAAGCAGTCTTGGTTTTATTCGTTGGTGTCTCACAGTCTGAGGGCTCCAGGTTCTTCCCAGCTATCTGGGCATCACTGATCTGGATTTAGTAATCAAGTAAACACTAGTTTAACCCTTGATAGGGAAAATAAAACTGAAGGTATGTGGCCAAGCTGACATAGTTGCAGTGCCGGTTGAAACACCCTAGTTATGTATCCCGGTAGAGGCTGGATAATTATTAACTGGGCTCAGGACAAACCTCTGCAAAACCTCACTTGAAACTCTCTCCACATTGTACCAGAAAATGGTCCCATTATTGATGGCTTTTGGACTGAGACAGAATTGTGAGTGAAACACTTTGTAAATTGGAAAAACTGCCTTGGGCATTTCTTCTTGGGAAGATGGAGCAGAGTCCTTCACTTCTCGCTGTCTAATGCTGCTCTACCTCTAAAGCTCCCCAGCCCTTCCTTGCTGTAGAGCAGCATGTTCTAGGAGGGGTGTTAGGCTTCCAGGGACAAGAGAAAATGCAGGTCAGTTGACCATCTTTCTGGTGGGGGACAACAGAAGAAGATACAGTCTTAATTTGTGGCAGAAAAGCTGAGCTGCGATACTGCGGGCTGGGGAAAGGCTCCAGAGATCCCCCCGAGCTAGAAATGGTTGGATTGGAAGGATATTTAAAAGGGACACCGTAAGTGCTCAAAAGTGTTTGCTTTTAACTGCCGCTTGAGATGGGATGCTGAGTAGAGACCCATGATTTGATACAGTATAGACACTTCCAGGTAATGGAGCTCTGAAAAAATATATACAGCTGCTCTTCTGGTTTTTCACCCACTTTTGGGCAGCAAGGATGGAAACCTGTATCCAGGGCAGGGTTGGGTGTGTGCTGTGCTTGCGCGGCAGCGTGGCATGCAGTGGCTTTGGTGGGACGTCAGCGTGAACGTCACTGGTGGCAAGGGATGCCAAGCTTGGTTGGAGATGAGGCATTGGTGACTTTGCTAGAGTCTGGAGTCTCCAACTCTGTAGTTGGAGTTCCCTTGTGGAAAACACTTTTTTTTCCCTTAAAATAAGTACAGTTAAAGGTGTGAACAGAGTGACTGATGTCAATCTCTTCTCCTCCATGCAGGTCTTGCAAGTCAAAATCCTCTTGAGCTTCTGTCCCTTCTTCACATCTTGCTTGTGAATATGATGAAGAGCAATCATCATAATTGCAGAATACCATCTTTAAGAAAGCTTATCGTTAAAATATCGTTTACCCAACTCCAAACTAGGCACTTTTTTGAGCACATAGCTATGAATGTCCACATCACTGATTAAAAAACAATTGTAGCTCTTCAGTGCTCTGAATTGTATGGGATTTTTGTCTAAATAAAATTGGGGGGCTTCAGCGGGGTCCTTTAAAATGTTTCTTCAGAGTTGTATGACAACCCAAGCTGATTTCATGGGCTCCAGTGGCTGCTTGGTTGCAGGTGGCTTGGGACCATGGTGGCACTGCACTCAGTTGCACTTTTTATCCTGCTGAGAAGGTGCAGGAACACTTTTCCATTAAAAAAAACCCCAAAAACAAACAAAAAGAAGAATTAAAGGTTTAACTGGTTTATGTGGGATCTGCCTGGCCACAGGCTCCTGCGTGGCTTTGAAGGGAAGGCACAAGGTTAAAAAAAGAACGGGGACAAAGTGACCTTGGGGCCACTGGGCAAGTGTCTTAAAGCTGGGCAAGAGGAAAGGGAGTCATGGGCAGGATGTGGTGTCCAAGGGGGAGAACTCCAGCTGATGCTTCTTGGGGGTGTGTGGTGTAAAGGTGGGCCAAGGGGAAGCAGATGTGCCTATCGGCGACTTTCATTTCTGGTTTTCTCTTCCTCAAGTGGCTGACCCTATGGAGAAGACTTGTTGGGGGCTGGTGTTCTGCCAGCCTTCAGGGGTTTGATGGCACTACCCAAAAATGGTGCCACTTGGTACAATCTGGCAGCCTGCTTTATTTTAGGAAGAAGTCGGTACAATCATTTGGTGACTGTTGGATCGAGGAGTATCTCATCAATGCAGATCTCACGTATGTGAACAAGGATTCCTGACAACCCAGTGGGTGTGATCCATTGCACATCTCGTGTATATTAAGATTTGCTGACTGGGGTTGCAGAACACCCACCCGAGATTTTGAGGGATCTTGGCTTGTTTCATAGCTTTTTCCAATATAACCATGTTTTCTGTTAAGGAGTAGGAAAATCCAAACTGCTGTAATTCCAACACCCAGGTTGGAGGTTGCTGGGGTGAAGGGAGTGGTTATGGGGATCCCTGTGTGCTCACCAGAGGAGCAGTCAAACCAGGAGAGGTGGGGGTGTCAGAACTGGGTGACCATGCAAAACACACGTCACCCAGCGTGGGATGGCAGGACTCACCAGCTCAGCCTGCAAGGCCAGCCATGCTCTGGAGACCAGCCAGGGACTGCACCAGCCCTGGCAGAGGTCCTTTTGTGGTAGAAGATGGGAGGGAGGAAAAGGTTTGGGCTTCTCTTCCACAGACCCCCAGCAGAGCAGCACAGCCTGCTGTGGGAGCCTGAGGTGGCTTTGAGTCACGGACCATGTCCTGGCTTCTGCCTCTGGGTCAAAGTGCCTACCACCACCTCGTCTTCACCTTTACTATTGTTAAGAGCATCAGAGAGTAACATCTGGGTGTATCACACCAATGGGAAAATTTCATCCTAATTATGACATGAGTGAAGTCAACTGCAGAAGCTGAAGACACTGCGACACAGGCAATGTGAGATGACCGCATCTCCAAAGGAAACTTCCATCAACATCTTCCTGCACCAGGCAAGTTTTTGCCCTGATTGCATCTGTGGGGTTTTTGTGGTTTTACTTAGGAAATATTTTGACGGCTTACTCAAAAATCCCCCCTCCAGGGGAGAACAATGCATGCCAATGCCAGAGGCTGGCTAATTTTGATTAACATCAGGACCATATCTAGAAAAACCTCATCTGTTTTATCACGCAATTTTGAGGAATATCCAAAGGTGCCTGGGATGGAGCTACTGGCTTTTCAGCGAAAGTTCCCAGGAGATGGAGTTGTTGAGGGATATTTTGGCAAGTTTGAAACATGAAACAAACCTCATTTGTGCTTTATGAAATACAAGCAATTTTGCTGCGAGCAAACTATTTCCTGAGTCAACCAAATATGAGTGTTTTTTAGGAGAATAACTTCTAGAAGAACAACTTAGGAGAACTTTTTTGAAGACCAATTTCTTCAATGTCACATCTCTTTGGAGTTTTTAAAGCTTCACCAGTTCCAGTATAGTAGGGAGAAAAGCTGAAGGAATGGGTGGAAGAGGAGGGGAAAATAATCCAAGACACACGGCTGAATACAGACATGCTCCGAAAAAAGTGGAACCAAGCGAAAGAACCCCACCACATCCAGTCCCAGGTCTGCAGCCACAGCTCCAGCTCTGTGGGCATGCATTTGCCATCTCCTCTCTCTCCAGCAAGCAAATCTCCATCAAGCAAACCACAGCGAGGTGGGTAAAGGCAGATATCCACAGCGTGTTTTCACCAAAACATTCATGTGGTTTCTGCAAGAGGAAGGTTGCACAGCCCTGGGCCAGCCCCGGCTGCTTGTCGCAGGTTGGCCCATTTCAGCTCAATTAAGCTGAGCTTACCTGCACCACACAGCAGTTAAATGTGACCTAACACGTCTCCTTACCTTTTCCTCCTTTAACATGACACCATTACCAAGCCCTTTGTGGGATGGCGAGTGCGAGCAGAAATAATTCTTCAGCTTGTGTGAAAACTTGATTAAAAATGAGTAAGAATCAAAGACATGGGGTTTCAGTATCACTTTTCAGTACTGCTGACACCTAGCTTGAACTTTTGGGGCATATACCTAAGCTTTGCTTAGCTATATGCACTAGGCAATCTTTCTCCCGGGATGTGCAGAAAACCCGAGTGTGGAGGAGACCAGGTTGAGCCCTTATGTGGTTGTGTCTCACCTGCATGTTCTGCTGGGCTGGACTTGTCCCATATTTACCAGGTTTGGTGATCACACACCGCCTGGCAGGATGGTTTGTTCCCTCCTCAGCACAAAGCACGCACTGTCCGAAGAGGATGGGGTCCGGCGGGCAGCTCTGGGCTCTGATCCGGCAGACGGCATGAAATCCGGGCAAGGAGACACTGTTGTCTTCTCACTGCCTCCTCTTTTGCCACCACCTACAGAGACAATGAATACAGAGCATCTCCAGGGGAGCGCGTTCCCCTCCCATGGAACAAAGGGAAGGAGTTGGGACCGGGCAGCAAAGGGTGCCATAGTGTGAAGGCTTTTGCTTCACCTTCCTGCAGAAGCTGGAAGGGATTCAGGAGATGGTGCAGGGTGACGGCAGGAGTGGAGGGGACTGAGCCCATCTGCCTTCTCCTGGGCACAGCCATAGCTGCTGTCTCCTCCATTCCATCAGCTCATCCCATCTCCTTTCCAGGGGTGACACAAGTGGGTCAGAGCCGTGGAAGGTTTCCAGAGGAAGTTGAGCGTCCACACGCCCTGGGACAGCCCAACTCCTGGCGTGGCTGTGGCTCCCCCGCAGCCATTTTTGGGGCGCTGAGCGCGGACCTCATCGGGGCCGCTCGGAAACCTGTACGGCTTCACCGGCCGGTGCTTGAACGACATGGCGGGGGATAGGGGGAACGGCGGCCAGCCCTGTAAATGGCCACGGCCACCGCGCCTCCCCTCAGCGTTCCTCCACCGCCCCTCAGCGTTTTCCCGCCAATGCCTCCCCTCAGCGCCCGCCGCCCCTCAGCGTTTTCCCGCCACTGCCGCCCCTCAGGGTCTTCCCGCCTCCCCTCAGCCATCTCCCACCGCCCCTCAGGGCTCCTCCTCCTCCTTTTCCTCCTCCTCCCCCACATCTCTCTCCCAAACTCTTCTTTTGTCAAGAAAGGATGATTTCAACGTTCATCTCCCAGCTGCACCTCAAAATTCGGTGCAAAACACAAGGTCACATACTGTTGGAAGGCATGTGGGGAAAAAAATTAAAAATACTTAATACCAGTTAGTTAAGACCAGCACAACTGACCGTTTTACCCTTAAAGAAGGGCTGACTGCGGTTGTTTTTTTTTTTTTCTCACTAACAGCTATAGTTCATTAAAAGTATCAAAGTAAAAGTAACAATGATTCGACACCCTGAAACATGAACTACGGTCTCAGAACCCCCACTGAAGATTTGAAAACCGTAAAGAGGCAGGGGGAAACTATAAAAAAAAAAAAAATATAAAAATCATCACTTCCTACTTTTGCTTCAAGAGGCTGTAATTACATCTAGGGTCCTTTGTGCCAGGCACTATAAACACCTATCGTGAAAGAGCAGACATGGGGACACGGCCCCGTCACCCTTCAATAGGGCAGAGCTGTGGGACCATGGTCCCCTCACCCCTCAGTGGGACAGAGCAATGGTGGCACGGGCCCTTGTTGGGGACACAGCCCCATCACCCCTCAGTGGGGCAGAGCAATGGCAGCACAGCCCGGTCACCCCCCAGTGGGGACACGGCCCCGTCACCCCTCAGTGGGGCAGAGCAGTGGGGACACGGCCCTGTCACCCCTTGTTGGGGCAGAGCAGGGCTGAGCCCTCCACAGCAAGGCAGAGCATGGGTTTGGCAGGTCCCCCCAAGCGCCAGGGCAGGGCACGGTGCCCCCAGACTGAAGAAAAGGCCAGAAGAGCCCTCCATGGGGTGAGGAGAGACCCACAGCCATGGGGGGGGGCCATCACAGCTCCCACTTCGGGGTCCACAACCAGCCTGGGCAGCTGTCCCCATGCTGCACCACTCCGAGGTGGGGACCAGTTGGGGTGTCCACCTTCCTCCTCACCCCCTCTTGTCCCCGCAGTGGCCGGCGGCGGGGTGCTCGCTCACCGGCGGGATGCCGACTACCTCTTCAGCAGTGATGCCGCCCACCCGGACACCCGCAGGTGGGCTGTGTCCCCCCAGCCATGTCACCTTGCTTGGGAGGCTGTGGCACCGCTTCACACTCACGTTGAGCCCTCTCCACACAATGTCTGTAGAGAGCCAAAGATCGATGAAGGCGTAGATAATGGTTTTAATGTATTTAACGTAAACTATTTAATGGGTGCCGATATCCTTGAAAAGTCAGAGTGGTGTTTTTAAAGTGGGGTCTGAAAACTCACACCCATGCTACACTGTACCTAGACAAAACAGAACGGCTGCAAAAAGCATCCACATGTTAGGCTGGCTTGATTCCGATGTAAATTAAACTAATTGCGCTGGTTTCCTTGTTACTTTTGAATTGATCTACTGGAAAACTAAAATAGAGGCGACACCATCCCCGAGATACCAGGTGCAAAAAAGTCAGCGCGCGTTCACTCTGAAAGTGAGCGTGGGGGTAAAAATGGCTGGAAAAGGGCTGAATTGCTATTATCCTTCTGCTTGCTTAATATAAAAAAAATCAGAGAGCTCAAGAAAATTTGTACAATATAAGGAAAGGCTATTCAGGGTCTTTCTCCAGCGAGCGAGTATTTATATATATTCAATATCATGTAAACATATTTATGTGAAAGGGACTCGCAATGTTTTCTCGCTGGCTTTGCCGGGCTGGACTAAGCAGCTTCTTTTAATGCATGATTGCTTAAAACCGGCTTAGATTTTTGTCATCCTTCAGCCACCCACGCCAGCTGTGGAAGGGGAATCCCAAGAAATCCGGAGTAACAACCTTCCTTCCACCACAGCATCCCACCGGTATTGTGTTGCTCCCCCAGGGAGCAACGCAATAATATTATAATAATAATTACTATAATTATTATCAATTATAAAATAGATAATTAATATAATTAATATATTAACTATATAATTACATATATATTATATATATTCAGATTATTTCTTGGGAAAAATATAATAATTATCCATACCCTTGAACGTGGCAAACAAAATTTAATTCCCCTCTAAGGAGGACGGTGAGTGCTTGAGCATCCTCCACCCACACTTCCTCCCTCACCTGTAGTGCCGCTGCTGTCTGGGGACCACGCCGTAAGCCTAAGCAGGGACCAGCGGGGTTAAGAATAAATAAAAATCCCATTTCCCCCCCTTCCCCTCCCTGAAGAACCAATCTCATCTCGAGAGCAGAGCCCCTGAAAATATGAGTTTAGCTGGTCCCTGGTGTCCTTCCTCCAGGCTGCTCTCAGGAGGTGCCGGCAGCTGGGACCGTAACGGGATGTTGCTGGTAGAGTCTCATGGTTAGAAAATTATAGAAAATTAGGTGCTTTTGGCAAAAATATCAGAGCAGGTCAGTTTTAAAGACAATATCCCTCTATATTTTTTTTTTTTTTTACCAGGTTTGGAAAACGGCTGTCTTTTTCTCTTCCAGAATACATGAGAGCCTCGATTACTTGGAGGGCAGAGCTACCGTCTTTCACTCCCGTTACCTCTCTGCGTGGGTGAGCACCGGCGTGGCAGCGAAGCCACCAGTGGTTCTGGGCCACTTCGTCCTGCCACCCGCCTGCCTGCAAGAAGGTGAGGGGACAAAAAAAAAAATCCCCCAAACCATCAGGGTTTTGTTCCCTTGTGAGTGCAGCCTTTTGGGGGTGCAAACCAGAACCTCAAGTTACTTCTGCTCTAAGGGATTCTCCTTCTGCTGGGAGCGATTCTTCCTCCCCAGGGAGAGAGGAACTAAAGCTCCGTTTTTTATTATTGTGTCAGTGCGCAGCGCTGTGCAGTGAGCTCCAGCGACTGCTGCCCGGTCTCGTTATTTGTTGTTCTCCCAGTCGTTTATTTTTTTTCGTTCATGGCAGAAATCAGAAGGCAAATCGGTAGTTTTATTTGGGAGCAGGCGGACGATTCCCTTGCAGAACAGGTAAGATGAGAAATACATCCTACAGGAGGCGTAGCTTAAGAAAAAAATTGGTTGTATGAACTCCAGGGAGCCTGGGTATCATCCCAGACCCTCAGCCCAAATACGAGATCAAATATTCTTGGTTTTGCTGCGCTGTGTGTCCATCCCAGGGGAGGGACAGCACAGGATTGAGTGCAGGATGCGCAGGAGGGATTTCTTTCCTCCCTTGGGCGTCCAGCCTCCCCGGCACGTCCTTCTGGGAATGCCAATCACCAAGGTCTGAGCTCAGCACTTCCGTGCAGCGTTTTCCTTCCCTGTGTAGCTCCGAGATGTTGCCCGCCCTGTTCTCAAAGCAACTTCTCAGTACTTTTGAAGCGAAAACATGGTTAGATTTAAAATTGTATTATAAATTTGGCCTGAAATCACAAGTCCTGACAATAATGCTCTCCCAGACTTGGTCTCTAGCATTTTGCGGGGTACCCAGGGCGTAATTTTAACTCAATTCCCGTGTTGATACTCGCAGCCCAATCAAAATCTGATGGATGAACCGGAGACGACAAGAAAAGACCGCGAGGAAGAAGCGGAGGAGGACCTGCTCGACCTGGCCGAAAGGTATTTTCCTGCCCTTGGCAGTAGGATTGGGATGCGCCCCCCCCAAATTTCAAGAGATCCCCAATACATAGGGAATAACGCACAGATTTTTCCCCGCCCCTGATACAGCAGCGAAGAAGAAACAGGCTCCAGAGCCCAGGAGGAATTTCCATGCCGTGCCCTCCAGGAATACCCGCTGAATAACATGGTCACAGGTAACGTTTGGCATTGGTAAACTTTTTAAGGAGTGTAAAACACGCCTGAAAATGACTGTGGGTGAAGCAGGGACGCCCCGTGCGCTCCTTGAGTCCTCACGGCACTTACAGCATCGGAAAGGCTGAGGGTGCGACCGGGATCGCTCCATTCCCCTTCGCACTGTGCGTTTTCCGTTGCCCTTGTTGCGTGGGAGAAGAGGGCAGCTCCCCCCGGTGAGATGCGCACTTTCCCTTCGTAGGCTACACCTCCGCTCGCGACATGAAGAAATACGTCGGAGAGCTCCGCGATTTCATTCCCGGCACCTCGGGCTACACGGTGTACTGGGTTGAGGACGAAATTAACATTTACTCCGACCTGAAGGCTCGGATGAAGAGAAAATTGTAAGTAGCGGGTGGCCGTTTGCATCGGTCGTGTTTGGAAATTCAACCCCGTAGTTAGATGCTCGGCTGCGCCCTTGGTCACTCCCTTCTGCAGGTCGACAGTTATTTTAACCGTCAGTCTGCCTTCTCCCTGTGTTTTAAGTTAAATAGTGAAGAGATTGGTGGCATCGAGCCGCAAATTCTGAGTTAAGTCTCCGCGGCACGCGGGGAATTTATAAATTCCCCTGCTTGGCTTATCCTGACTGCAGCTCAGCACCTTCAATGTGTATTTAAGTACCTGGCTACACTCACTGTAACCATTTTCTTCTTTAAGTAACTATTTAAAAGAAATTCCAAATATAGACATTTCTCCCCAAAATGCAAATCCTTTGTCTTTTGATTTGTACCCGGGGGGGGTTTAAGATGTGGCTGTGAACAGGAGTTTTCCTTGTCGGGACACGGGGAGGTCACACCATGGCACAGCCTCACCCACCCATGGTACTGACTCACCGGTGGGAGCCAGCGCCGTGGTGGGGCTGGCAGGACAGGACAGGACAGCATCTCCCGGCCACAAGGGGACCTCCATGGGTTTGCAGCAGCATTGAGCACACCCAGACTTCCCCTGAGAAACCCCCATGTCGTGCTGGAGCCAGTCATGCAAGATGGGGAGGGAAAACCCCAGGAACCTCCCCCAGGAGCCCTGCCCGCAGGTCAGGCGCTGGGGGATGCCACCAGCCGAGGTGGAAGAAGACCTGTAGATCTCCTCTGCCTCCAAGCAATGCCTCTGCTCTGCACAGCAGGACAGGAGTTTTGAGGGGTGAACCCCAAAATTCTTCCATGCCTGTTGCAGCCTGGGGAAAATCGTTGGACGGAGTGTCTCGCTGAGACAGCAGAAGCCTCACCAGGGTCCATCTCCACAGGGGAGCTTCCACCCCAACACAGCACTCTGCTCAGCCCACTTCGCTCCCCTCATACAAAGAAAACCATCGACGAGGCTTTTTTGTTTCATTTAAGTACTTAAAAGCAACCAATGTGGTTATAAAAAGCAACTTTTATTCTGGCACAGGCAAAACCGGGAAGTGGCAGGGGTGAGGAGCTCTGGTAACCACCACCGCAGGAGAGGCTGTAAAATAACAGCTTTGCACCTCACACCCTAAACAGCCAGGAAAGAACCCAAATAGATGCCAGGAAACATGAAGGTGTCGAGTCCTCCTCCCCCCCTGAAGCCCTGGACACCTGTATTTGGGACGCGGCGCCCTGAGGAACCAGCCCTCCCTCCTCATCCCGGGGGACGCAGGCTTCCAAAGACCAGGCAGGCTGAGATGGTTTCCCCACGTTTATTGGAAAAGTGACATACAGCGACCGACTCAGAGCGCTCCTCGGGGCGTTTTGAAGTTCATCCCCACCGTGGGCTGCGTCACCTGCAGGTTGGACAGGCTGCCGAAGTCCTGAAAAAGAGCACGGGATCGGGGTGGGTCACGCCGCCCTGCCCACCATCCGCGCCCGACCCTGCCGAGGGCGGAGGCAGATTCCTCCCGGGAGGAGTGTGAAGGTGCTGTGGTAGCATGAAGGGTGGATTCACATCTCCAGAAAGAAGGGGAGACGACCACCCCGCTACAGAGATCAGCTCCTTGGTGGGGGGAATCTGGTCTTTTGGGGGGCAAACCCACATCCACCTCCACCCAGTGAGAGCTGAGGAGGGGGCCCTCACGTCAGCACCCGCTGTGTGACCAGAGCGTCAAAGCCTTCAGCAGACACCATCAAGCCCCTCAGGGCAGCAGGAGCGCTGCCGGGGACATGTCACCACCCAGGCAGGGGGACAGCTGGGGCCACTCACCAGGAGCTTCAGCATTTCCTTGGTGTCCGGGTCCACTTCGATGATCTCCTGGTCGAGGGCAGAGACCTGGGGAGAGACAGACCCCGTTTGATGAGGCCTCGCAGCCCCTGGTGTGTCCCCACACCCCCACTCCAGTCCCATCCCACCGCAAGGGGGCTGCTGGAAGGGACCAGATCCTTCCCCCAGCTCCCCCCAACCAGTGATGCCCAGATCTTGTTTCCACACAAACGAGATCTCTCTGCCCATCGTGGGGAACGGCAACAAGCCAGGAGGCCCCAGACAGCGTCCAGCTCTCCTGCCAGAACACGACGAGAGGGCACCGCGCAGCAGAGAGGCCTCGCAGAGGGAGAAGAGCCTGTTTTGAGCAAGACTTTGGAAACTTGAGGCCTAACCAGCTCCACGCCAAGGCTGCCGAGAGGAGATGGTGTTGGGTCCACAACTGCACCAGTCTCAGTGGTCACCACCAACACTCGCACTCATCTCGTGACACAAGTCCCCAAGGCCAGAGCCTGACCACTGCAGTGCCAGACAGCAATGCCGAGTGACCGTCCGGGCTGTCCCACTCCAGGACGTGAGGCCTCCTGCTCTTTAAACCCAGAGCAACCTCCTCTAACCCTCTCTGGATCCCAAACCTCCATCTCCACATGCGCCCTTCCCCAAGAGGGGGGAAGGGTTTTTGGAAGAAACCCTGAATGATGCCCGTTCAGCTAATGCTGCACTGACAGCTACAGCACAGAGGCTCCTTCCTTGCTCAGGGTCCCTGCAGGGGTGACCTTTCCCACCAGCACCACCTTATCCTGCCTTCAAAACTCAACTGGAAGGTCACTATGTAAAACACATGGACAATTGCCCCAGCCAGTTCCTCCAAACCCCCGACATCAGCCATGCAGGTCAGCACTGTGCTGACAAATAAATCTGGGGCGTTGAGGCACCTGTGAGAGGATCTGCACGGAGCTGCCAGGGTTTCACGCCTCATTTCTAGCTTTCGGAAGCGAGGGAGTGAAACTGAGCCCTGGACCCTCACACGGAGCTCTGTCACCTCACCCTGGGCTAAGAAACCAAGGTGGAAAAGCAGGGAGGGCACTCCCGAGGCAGATCTCCAGACACAGGTGGAACAGTGCCAACCCGCCTTACTGCACTGCCGAGCTTCCGTGACATCCTACTTCTTCCTTCCAGATCATCGCTAAAATAACATTCCACGTAAACAAACCCTGGCACCGACAATTTGGGAGAGCTGAGGTGGCAGCACAGAAACCAGCAGCTCTACCAGTAGCTTGGACGAGGGGTGGGACGCACAGTGCCTGAAGGTTACAGGGTTTGGGAGGGATGGGATTGAACCCACCCAACACAGGAAACGCTTTCAGAGCTCCTCTCACTGCACCACCACCTCCAGGGAGGTCAGGGATGACATCTCAATCCCTTGCGAATGCAGGTTCAAGAGGAGAGGTGGCTTCACCCATTCCCTCTCTTCAGCGACATCTGCTGTACAGCAGGTTTTAAGCCACTCTGAAATATCCTCCTGCATCCCATGGAGTTTTTTTTCTTTTTTTCCCCCTCATTTTAAGTTAGGAAAATCGAGAAGAGATATTATCTGCCAACCATCAGCAGAGTCAAACGCAAGAAGTCAGCTGCTCCTCCCACCCCAGGCAGCGGTTTTGGAGGAAGCACCCCGATGTGTGGCCAAAATCCGCCTCAGCCATCCCTGACCCAAACCCTCCTCAGCTCCTCCTGGCTGAGCTTTCATTTCAAAGAAATTTGGGGCCACTGGTATGGAAGATGCCTCGAGGCATGACGGACAGGCACTCGAGCGCAGCCAGAGCCTCACCTCGGGGACGTAGTTGTCCCTCCTCTCCCTCTCCTCCTCCTGCAGTTTGATGGAGATGCCGCGGACGGGTCCCCTCTGAATACGCTTCATCAGGTGGGTGACATACCTGCGGGGGACACACAGGACCATCCAGCGCTTCCCCACACTCCCACAGCCCAGGTCTCCCTACTCCCCTCTCACCCTCCCAAAATCGCACGTGGCTGAGGAAAAGAGCCCCCGCCCGCAACCCTGGCATTGTCCCACCACCGACCCCAGCAACGTCCTATCACCAAGCCCAGTGTTGTCCCACCACCGGCCCCAGCGATGTCCCACCACCAAGCGTGGTGATGCCTAGCCACCAGCCCTAGTGATGTTCCACCACCATCCCCGGTGCCGTCCCACCACCTCCGCGGCACGTCAGGGACGGCGAAGTGTCCGACAGCGACAGGGTTTGGGAGGGAGGGGACGGTCCCCCCCAAACACGGGAAAGCTCTCGGCGTTCCTCTCCCTGCACTATCGATGACCGGGCCACGGGCGAGGCCGCGATCACTTTCGAATGCAGGTTCGCGGCGGCCGCTCCCACCCGTGTGTCACCCACCCGTGTCCGTGTCCCCCCCCCACCCGTGTCCGCCCCTCACCCCGCGATCTTGTTGCGCAGCTTCTTGCTGGGGATGATGGCGATCTCCTCGCACACCCGCTTGTTGGTGTGGAAGTCGTTCCCCAGGCGGGTGTAGTACTTCTCGATGATCACCCGGGCGGCCTTCTTCACCGTCTTCGTTCGGACGCGTCCCTGGGCGGAGGGGGGCGGCAAACACCGGTCAGGCCCCG